AGCTCTCATCAAACAAAAGATCCAAAAAACACGAACAGTGTTAGGAATGAAACGAGTTACAGACAAACAAATACAATACATAATCAATCATATCCTCATGCCCAATCTAAAATATCTTTGCAATGATATAGTCATAACTAGAGACACATGTAACAAAATGATGTGCAAACTAATGACTACCTTCAAACATAAGCTTGGTCTAGCAAACACAATCCCCAACAGCATACTACACAATAATGCTGAATACAATATTATGTATTTGTGGAACAGATAGCTGCTCTTACATGCCACAAACTGAACATCACGCATCAATTCAGATAATATTACAGGAGAAATAGCAAGGGAAAGACTTTAATCATTACAAAACACATTTTGATTCACAAAGGCAATAATAAATCATATATATGCACCTCTCCTATCACAAGGAAGAAATCTCACTCATAACATAATATGGCTTCTCAGGACATATAGCTTTTCATTCCTGAATACTCTTAATGGAAAATATACAACAATTGCAGAATCTGACACACTAATCGAAAAAATTACCAGTATATCTTTCTATAATTAGCACAGAAAAAGCTTAAGAAAGTACACATCCTCTTTATCGGTCAAATGCTAAATAGCAATAGGAGAAAGACCTTACACTGGTGCCAGTTAATCAGACTCAACCACCAAACTATACAAGGTCACACCCCAGCCTGGTATCACACCTTGAAAGAAAGACTCCTGAAATGGATCACAAATGAACAGTCTCAACAGCCTACAACCAACCCCTTCTTACAGTGCACCAGATCAACTGACTGAAATACAACAAGACTACACTGGATCAGCAAAAAGTTGAACAACCAAACTATCATTGAAAGAAAATAAAGAAAGGTGAATGATCAAGTCACAAAATATAGACACTACAACAGGATCAACAACCAGTCTTCTCTAGCAGAATGCACAGGCTGTGCCATCAATATCTACAGCTAAAACCTCCATCCTTGCACCTTCTCAGCAAGCCGACAAAACTCAATTTGCATCCTAGTCCACAACAGTAGAGTAATTATGCATGACATTCCCAACACTGAGAACAACACACTCAGGTGCAGAGTATCCTCAAACTTAATGCAGACATCACTGGACCTAATAGGTCACCGAGATATGGACTCAGCAAGTAACTAGATAGAAATTTTGATACCAACAATTCAAGACACCAATCAACTCCTGAACAAACTCTTTGATACTGATAGTAGTATTAAAAGTGAACTATTCAAATTAGCCAGTAAAATCCAAGACAACATGATCTTTGATATATATACAAATGGATCACTAAAAGAACATAACAAAAAATAGTTATGGGAATAGGTCTCAAAATTATTACATATGAGGGAAAAGAGTTTATATTTCATGCACAGACAACATTACACCCATCTTCAACTCGTGCAGAAATAATGGCCATACTGATAGCACTCAGTATTCTTCTACAGCATAGTTATGCAAATATTTATACAGATAACAATGCGGTTATAAATGGCATTAACAACATACTGAACACAACCCCTATCAAGGCTCTTAGAAAACAAAATAATTTCAATCTCCTGCAACAAATAAAAGACATATGTGGAAACAAGAACATAAAAATGAAGCTAAAAAAATGAAAGTTCACTCTAAAATAATGCACAATAAAGATGCAGACAAACTGGCAAGTATTGATCCCAGATATGACATGACTCTAAACAGCAGACTGATAGCTACACACTTCACAACCAATCCACAATTGACCCTTATTTCTCAATGGGACCACCAAACAATGGACATCCCAATTAAGACAATAATCAAATGCATCACAAAAGCAATATATTTAGCAAAGTGGTGACTCCTAAATCATACTAAAAACAACTTCGAAGACCTCATGATTGAAAAAATTCACTGGCCATCAACCATAAACAATCTACAGCCAACCAAAATGAACAACCACTATATCAGCTGGCCTGATCAACAGCAAAGAAGATTCAGATTACTAATATGGAATGAAGAACTACCTACGAATGCCAAACTTTTCAGCAGAATACCCAAATTGTACAAAGATAACAAATGCATAAAATGTGGTCAAAGAGAATCCAACACACATCCATTTATTTGCCAAACACACTGGTACACAACAAGCAACTTTCTTATTGAAACTATAAAAAAAACTGTTACAAAATTCAGCGAACACAACAAAATCAAAGATACCTTATTAAAGTATTCAATCAACACCACTCTACATTATAAACAATATCTAGAAATTGCTATTCGAGGAGGCATCCTAAAAAAAACAATCAGTATAATCAATAAATTAATTCCTAATCAAAACACAAAAAAAGCATGTCTCCAAGAACTCGCTCAAGAAATCATCAAGTATTTACAAGAAATATTGCACAACAGATGTGAGGATTTTCACAATTGGAAAAAACAACAAGGTATCATATCAGCCATGGAAAAGCTACACAAATATAGTACTGCCACACTAGATCTATGGATAGAAGAAAGAGAAAAACACATAAAAGAACAATTCACTAGCTTAGTTAATAAATATATTTATAATAGTATTAGATTGATCACAAACCCCTACCATTTATTGGAAATTTTGTATAGTGCTAGTCCAGCCTTGGCAGGTTAGTTCCCCTGAAAGGGTGGCAACAAGCCATGAGGTAGGTTTCTCCTTATCGAGCTTTATTTGATAAACAAATGTAGTTATAAAACAGACATATGTAACTTTCTACTAAATTTAAATAAAGCAAGGCTGAGCCAGCAATTAAAAAATATAAAAATAATAAAAATAATAAAAATAAAAGAATCATTAAAAACTTTTTAATTATAACAAAAGATATACTCATAGAACTAGCACCATTCTATAAAAAATATGTAAACTTAAAATATTAGTGTATAAATAAATAGCTTCCTGAATACAGACTATAGAATAGACTTCAAATTATATATCATCCAAGTCCCAGAAATCTAATTTAAAGAAAAAATAAATAATTTCCCTACTAAACAAGAGTTAAATTAACTGTTATTATATCTTTTTTAATACAAGGAAAAAAGAGAAACAAGCAAAATATGAAACCAAAAAGAAAGACTCAACCTTCACCCAAAGAGAAAGATTCATAAAAGAACAATACACAAACCTAATTAATTATTTTATGAATCAATAATTCATGAACATTATAGACAACTCGTTTATCTTTAAAATTTATTTTAGTACTAGCCTAGCCTTGGCAGGTTAGCTTCTATACAAGGGGTGGCAACAAGCTACAAGGTGAGTACCCTGGGAAAGGAAAATCTCTATTGAGTTTTTTTTTTTAGAAAACAGGTAGTATATTCTAGGATAGTTTCTCTATATAATATTATTGCAAATATACAGATAAAACAAGGCTGAGCCAGCATTAAAAAAAAAAAAAAAAGGTTTAATATATTTTTATAATAAATTTATTAAATATTAATAATATTATTTATTAAATCAAATTTATTAATATATTATATATATTAACTTAGCAATTTTTAAAATAATAAAATATATATAAGCCCTTTCAATTTAAGTCTATCTTTAATTTGAAATACTAATAATCAATATTAAAAAGATAGCTAATTCAATTTCAAAATAATAGTTTTTTAAATAAAATTTTTATTTGATTCTCTTTTAACCAGAGTTAAATTTTATAATAAGTATTATATAATTTGATATTATTTTAATTACTCAAAATATGACTATTATTTCAAAAAATATTTTCATATATTTTCAAGTATCAATAATAAAGATTTCATTAATAAAGCTTAACAACAATCAAAATTTAATTAATATATATTCAAAAAAGAAAAAAACAATAATCTCAAATAAAGAGACTTAGGCATTTTCAATAGAAATAATCTATCTAGATTCAGTATAAATTCTAAAAACAAAGATCACAAACTGCTTGCATCTCATTTCTAAATGGTTTTAAGTGAAAAAGACAAAAATTCAAGAAATTCTGAACACATAAATAGTGAATTTAACTAGAATATTATTTTTATTGCTGTCCTTGATATTTCTAAAAGCTTTAACAATTCTACCAATTCACCAATATTTTTTCGTAAATTATTTAATTGTTTTTAGATAAGCATTAGTCATTAGACTCTAATATTGTGCACCTTTTTATTGATCATCAGTACATTCTATTAGGCACATTGCAACGGGATATAGTTAATATACTTTGTAAAGACCATTAATGACATTTTAATTGATTCATTTCCAAATAAAACTCGCATTTAATGCTCATTTGCGATAAAATAAAAATAAAAATAAGCGAATACTCATATTACTCATTAAGTAACATTAAATTATAAATAAAGTAATGTCTAAAAATATATCGAGTTTTTAGGCATCATTTAATTGTGTCGACGGAAATAATTGACAAAAACTCAAATATTTTACTGCACAAATCATAAAAAATAAATGCCATCTATTCTTTTTATTTCTGCTATAATTTTATTTGTATTGAATTTAATAAATGTTTGCAAACACAATAAAGAATCAAAGTGAACATAAAATTAAATCAGATATTAAATACACTTCTAAATTCTTACATCAATACAATCATCACATTAAATGTAATATGTAAATCCACAGCTTCACATATCTACTATTTTAATTTGAGCAATTATTTTACAGATACTGTACGTTTTAAATGTAAATGCAAATTTTTCTTAAAATTCGATAAGAATAAAAAACATCGTATGCCTTTTAAAATCAAAGTGCAAAGTGTATAAATCAAGCGTACATGATTAGTAATAGAAACCATTTTTATACATATTTAAAATTGTGTAGGCTAAAAATTTTTTTTTTATATTTACGCTATTATAATATAAGAAAATATTGAATATGCTTATGCTGATATAAAATGAGGAGATATTGAAAATATGCTATCAAACTAAAATATGAGATATTAAAATTTTCGAATGCTAACATATAAATATACATATAACGAATGAAGCGATCAAGTGTTTGGTATGTTGAGCCTTTTTAAATCTTCATTCGCGCTCGGTTGACCTTGCAATGCGGCAAGTTTGATCAGCTCAATTCCCTTCTCCTTGTCTACATCCACACCCAACTTACCATTTAAATAAATATCACCTAGGGTATATAATGCCGTTGCATTTCCCGCGTTTGCTGCTTGTGTCATATAATCCATCACAACTTTAACATTACAATCTTTCTGATCTACTAACATAAATGCATAATAAAATTTCGCATCCATTACGCCTTCGTCTGCGGCCTCCTTAAAATATTTTAAAGCTTCCTCAAGGTCCTTTTTTACGTAACATCCAGACATCAAATAATAGCCCTTCCAGTACTTAGCAATACTAAAGCCTAAATCCGCGTGACTCGTAAAACATTCCCAAGCATCTTTATAATCCTTTTCTTCGTGAAATTTAAGTCCGTCTTCAAATGGCCTCACGACATTTATTAGCGGCAAATTTTCGGAAGTAGATTCGGAAATTCTTGAATTATCAAAGCGTTCCTCCGAATCATTTAGATCTAAATCAGACACGGGAATATCATTTAGGGCCTTATTACCAATGACTCTCGGTGAAGAATAGATGGGTATGTGTTGGTTGTATAATTCTTTAAGTTTATTGTGAATTTGAACGTCTGATGGGCGTCCAAACGGATCTTCTTGCCATGCTAATGATATACAATGCGTAATATTAAATTAGGGATTACTTTGTTTCCAAAGCATGGAATCATGATCTTTTTAACTCAATGCCTTTTTTAATAATATCCGTAAGATCTTTATGAATCGGATCTTTGGAAAGGAGTAGAATTTCTCTTCCTTTATTTGTAACATGATCCTGCACATTTTTCACGCTAAGCTTATCATATGGAATCCTTTCATAACAAAGCTCCCAGATAAGCATTCCGAAACTATATATATATTAATAATAATTGGATCAAGATTTCTAGCAAACAAAAGATCTGGAATTCATATTCAAGTACCTGAACATTTCACTATGAATCGTATAACGCTGCCCTTTCATTTTTTCAGGAGACATCCAAGGAATGTAATCACTTAAATTTCTAATAGGTGCAGATAATCCTTGAACACTACGAGACATTTCAAAATTAGAGATTTTTGCTACGTAATTTTCCATAATCTATGTTAACAATTTTAATAATTTAAATAATAATTAGTATATATTTTATGTCGCGAAAAAAAAAAAAAAAAAATCATTTTCCTAACTGACCAAGATATTCTCGCAACGGATGTCGTGATGAAGAATATTATTATTATGTATAAAGTAAAGACCACTGAATATATCACGGATAAATGTTAATTTTAGTTTCCAATCAAAGTTGTACTTTTCATAAAAAGATCTTAAGTTCCCGTGTGTTGCCCAAGCGAAAACCATAACAGTCTCCTCTCCTATTATAGAAAGGCCGTAAAAAGTAATAATATAATCGCATTGCCCCAACAAATCAAGGATCGCCAATTCAGTTTGAAGTTTTTGCGATTCAGCGGTTCCATCTTTCTCAACGGGTGGGATGCTTTTACACGCAACTTCAATGGAATTTTTGTATATTTTTTTAATAATATTTCCCTTTTTATTGTCAAACCCTCCATCGGGGTTTTTAAGATCCAAACGATCAATGCTTTTCACTTTGAACACTTCGTTTAGCGGATTTGATACTTTGGCATGACCGCCAGATATCTTTATCTGATTGTTCAATTGCTCCACTTTTTGTGATAACGTTGATATAACATCATTAAGACATTTCATATCGCTCTTAAATTCTTCCATTATCTATTTTTTTTTTTTTTTAATTATTCGTAGACATGATGATAAGAAAATAATATAAACCAAATATTTTAAAGCAAAAATTTAATTAAACCACGAACCTTTCCAATATTATCGAGATCTTCTTTTATATCGTCAAATTCCTGTTTCCTTTTTTCCACGGAATAGATTCCTATCGTAAGTTGTAAATCACCGCAGACCGACTCGAATTCTTTGATTATATTATCAAAAGTTTCTCCAATAGCTTTGGCATTCGCGTATTTTCGCCAACCCGATTGCTGTGCTATGTTTTTGGTAAATTCCTTAATCTTCTCTAGTACATAGCAAACCCTAACCCAGGCGTTATAATATGGCTGACTGCGGAATTTTTCTTCATTGTTCCGCTTATGACGCTGTAGATATCTAGCTAAATGTTCGACGATTTCCACGCGGTCAATTAAAGCTGCACAAATTTTATGATTACATTTCGCATTATTGTATATCTTTACCATGTCGTCAGCTATTTTTTTAACGGCTCCAAACAAAGGAAGAAAAGGGTCAATTACATTAACAACTATTTCGCCTGTTAATTTTACTGAAGCTGCGCCCGTGTTGGGCATTTCATATGAGCTGCTCAGGTGAATTTCTCCGGTTCTGTCTGTAGTGCTATACATTTTTGCTTTTAGAGTATACGATTTAACTACGGTTTGATATTGAAAAGATAAATTTAAGTCCTTGAATTTATTTCGCAATTTTATAGTTATTTGCATCCAATAATATTCAATGAAATAAATATAATACGTAATGTACTACGTAAATACGCATTGGATTTGTAATAAGTACTTGTGTTCTTTTAATGTGCGACAATATTTAATTTAGTCACATGCATGAACATGAGAAATTTTTTGATTATTCTATTTTTTTTTATGTTCCATTTCCTTTTTTTTTTATTAAGATCTGATAAAATAAACAAATAAATGAGAAATCAATGTTCAATTTTCGCAAGTGCGGATCAGTCGCTATCTCGGTTTAACCCGCGTAACCCACATAAATATGAAATAATACATAAAGGTTTTGGGCGTAGCATACTTTACGGAAGTTAAAATTATTTTATTAAATCATTGATTATACTGACTTATTATCATTATTTTCTCACATTTCTCTTACGAACACAGTGTCATTATTTATTAATGGGCGGTTTTAGTTCTGCGACACTGGATGTCGCAATCGGATCACTTCTAACATCATGCAATTGCAAAGTAGTTTGAAGGATATATCTTAATGAAAAAAAATATAACCATTAAAACGCATATTGGTTTTAACGTTTTGATATCCAAGACGAAAAAATTTTCGCCATCAATGTCTTTAATACCACTTGCTAAAATAATATACTGTGGCTAGTGGTATTTTGCAAATAATTTCTACATGCGTATACAGTAATCTTCTTTCCAGAATTCTATATACACCGCAATTAGTTAGTAAATAATATGATTTTAAATTAATCGAGACTAAGCTTCATTTAAATTATTGTTTGTTGTATGCAAAAGGATCGTTTATTTACAGTATTTAAAAACAAATAGCAATTATCTTAAGTATGAAGTCATCGAATATCAATAAAAAATCTCCATTAGTGTGATCTTATAATAATAAACCCATAATCAATATCTTTTAATGAAATAATGGAAGGAAGGTTTTTCGATTGTATAGCAAATACATACGGTATCACGAAACCCGATTTAAAAGAAAAAAATTATTCCGCATATTATAGTAAAATAAACAGGAACAAAAGGAAAGTCTTTAAAAATGGTGCGAGATTTTATAAAGAAATAGGTAATAAAAAAAATTACACAAAATTATCAGATAGAGAATAAAAGGGACAGAATGGGATTTCTCATGTCTCCTGTAAAAAATCTTTTAATTATACGTATACTGTATGTTAGCGATTGTTCTTTTTGACTTTTGTGACTCAGTTTAGACGCGCAGTAAAATCTGCAACTACGCAACATTGTGTCGATCTCTACCACGTGACTCTAAACAATATACTATTGTTGTTAGAGTGCTGCGCCTAGAAGAAACAACAGCAGTTACGAAAGTTTAGTATATTGGTATTTATGTATAAGCTTACATTAAAAATAAATTGGGTCAGTAAACAGACTACGTGTGCTTCAATTTAATTATCTCCTAAAATGTTTAAAATTTAGAATACTTTCTTAAATGACGTATATTCGCACGTTTTAAATAAGGAATTATCAAAATATATTTAACTCATAAGATGTTGGTTCTGTTTCTTTTCTGAACAGAACACAGAATTTTTGTAATAACAAGCGTTGTAAATATGCCGATTCATGAGAAAGATGAAGTAAACCGGGAAGCGAATTGTTCGCGTGAAGATGAAAAGGCTATTTCCATCGTAAGTGCGCATTTTCTTTCTATTCTTTTCCACAATAGATCAACATAATTTATTTATACGTATATAGGATTGTCCGAGGAAAACTCATCAAAAGCGAAACCATAGCAATTCTTCTGAATTACATGTGAAAAAAGTAAAAAGAATCAAGAAAGAAATACCCGAATGTGACAAAGCAACAGAAGAAAATCTTGAAGTAGGCATAATGAAATATGAAACCACTAATAGTAATGATTCTAGACCTAGGAAAAAACCAAATCCATGGACACCGCTTGAAGATAAATTATTGTTGGAATGTCTACACGATCTTGCAGGAGAGGGTAAATGGAAACGAATTGCGGATGCAATGAATAATGGAAGGAATGCCGATAATTGCAGACATAGGTTTAATACTTTGAAAAATATTGTTGCGAAAGGCGGTCCATTAGGCTAGGGTTTGATATTTATGGTGACGCGATATTGAAAATCTATTGTAATTGCTATCAGCGGTCATCACGATTAGAACATTTGTATTTGTAATACAATATATAAAACAAAAAACCTTGCAAGGTCATCTCATTCTAGTATTAACTTGAGAAGCGTTTCCTTTATGCCGTAGTCACAACACCTTAAATGGTTCGCATAAAGTTATGAAATAGTGCAATTAGAAATAACGCAGGAATAATAACGATAATAAAAAGAAATTATATTAGCTCGGAAATTTGTCTTTTTTATTTTTTATTTTTCGCTTTTTTTTATAATATGAATTATTGAATTATTGATGGAAATATTATTAACAAAAAGGATCAGTAATAAGTTATTTATAATATTCGTACGGTTTCTTATAAAAATTTTATTTGCTTGTAAATATATTATTTGTTTTGGTTTGAATTTTTTTTTTTTTTTTGCAAAAAAAAAAATTGAATTTTGTCGTAATTTTTTACACAATTATTTTTAATTTATTTCAATCAATTAAAAAATATTTCGAACCTTATAATATACGATCAGTAAAATATTTAATTTTTAATCTTTAGTATTGATTTTATATATTTGTTTATTAGTCTTTTTAATTAATATAGATTTAATTTATTTATTAAACTAAAATAAATTTACTTTATTTATAAAAAGGATAGTATAAATATCAAAGTACAAAAATATTTATTTTTAATTTTCAATTAATACTTAAAAAATATAATTAAATATTAATTACCTTATAAATTGCTATAATTCTATTTAAAAATACCACTAAAAAAAGTTATTTTTAAAGTTCAAAAAGCATGAAATTTGAAATTTGAAATTTAAAGCAAGATATTTTTGACTTTTTTTCAAAAATCAAACTTATTAAATAGTTTAACCAAATATAAAAGTTTTTATTTAATTTATATTATTTATTAATAAAAAATGTAAAATAATATACAATATTTTTTTAATTACTAATATATTAAATATATATCAATTCTAATTACAACTATAGATTTTAATTAATTAAATATCAACTTAGTTTAGTATTAATATATATATATATATTATATATTAAATATACAATTATACTATTTTAATGAAATAATTCAATCTGCAGTAGTGACCTGCAGGCAATGATTTTAGAAGTTGAAAGAGTTTTCATCTGAACCTCTAACGGAGCAATAAATCACTCTTGAAGTTGCACTTAGAGAAATAATACAACTAAAACAAGTGAGTTAGTTAGATATTTAGCTTTAACATTTCATTTAATATGTACAGCTTACAATTGTTTAATAAAGCATATATAACTAACCTGATAGAGGGTAAAAAAAAAAAAAAAAAATTATACTATTTTAACATATATCAAAAAATTTTCTTTTTTGATAATTTTCTTGAAAAACTTACAAAAACTTTTTTATACAAAAGCAAGTCTCAGAGGATACAATCAATCACTTCCAGACAATAAACTCTACTTTGCAATAACAAGAAAAGAGTTTCACTTAACTTAAAAGATAAATATTCCTAAATCATTTTTGCTTTTAGAAAGGAGAAAAAACAAAAATAAGCTGATTTACAGTAGGCTTCTTGAGAATCAACCTCAACCCTTAAAGCTCTTAACCAGGTTAGTGCAAGTTAACACTTTTTTAGGTACTAAGAGATATCTCAGAAGCAATAGATTATATTGATAAATCAATACAACCTCAAGGCTAACTGAAATCCAGTAGAATATTCAAGTCTCTTTGATCAAACTGCTAAAAGATTACAACAAAACAACAACTCCAAATCAATTAATTTACATTATGTAAACATGAATACGGTAACTTTTTACTTACTTGATATGTATTAAAGTAAGCAGATCAGTCTATCAATAAAACAATAAAACGTGATAGATCAATAAACTAGAATATGTATAATCAACTAGTACATGTTATCTAAAGCAAAATCAATAGTTGATCACAGTCAGTTACATGTTAGTAAACAAATATCAAATGTATAAACATATAGAAGTCACATGTTATAGATTTCCTAATATCAATATAGCAACTTATTGCCATATACATCAAAAAGAAAAATATTATATAACAATATTTATCTGCTTATGTAATTAAAAAACACTTATATAATAACAACATGTATTAAAAATTTTAAACTTTTTCTATTGATCCTCTAACCATACACAAAAAAAATATTCGCAAGAAGTTTTTATACATCCTTGCTAATAAAGTCTTAATACTTTCATTAAAACAACTTGAAGTATAACTTCAAGAGTTACTTCTATCCTTTCCCTCTTATTTACAAACCTCTTCACTCAAAAACTTGACTTCAAGTGATCAAGAAAAGTCAAGTAATACCTTTGATACCAATGGCAAGAAAGTTCCCAAAGAAAGAAGAACTGACTGTAAAGTACCTGAAGGCCTTTTTAACCTTTGAAGCGAGAGGTATATAAAGGTTTTTGATGACAGAAGAGCTTATTTTTCCCCTTTCAGTCACTTGTGAGTCTCTTAGAGCTATCGCTTTCATAGTTTTCTGGAAATTTTGCCTACCTCAGTTTGACCCTGAATTTTTGGTAATACAAATTCTCATTAAAAGTGATTGGCTGACACGAAATATATTAGTTTTTGGAATATAAACAAGCTCCTATTAGTCATATTCATGTGTTTCGATAATGTCATTAGTGATTAGAAAGAAGGTTTTGAAAACGTTTGCCTTCAAAAAAGCTCAAGTCCCTTAATAAAAACTTCCATGATACCAAAAGACTAAGTGATAGGTAATGTGGATTGCAAACTCCTGTCTCTTACCTAAGTTCCTCAAGTATTGACAAAGCTTTAATAAAAAAAAGCTGTAATCTAAATACTTTCCTTAAAATATTTCAATCCGGTGTATACTTAAATGAAAAATCAGTTGGATTGACTCGTCTGATGCCGCAGGTGGTGAAAAAGAAGATTTCTTCTGAGGTTCAAGTGAAGCAAGAAGACTATCTTAATCAAGCAGATTCCTTTTGAGAAGAGGTTGTTTTTATTTTTGGATTTTTTTTTTGGTGGACCTTGAATTGTTCCCTTTTCCCAATTCTTTTTTTCCCTTTCCCCTTTTTAACTTAGCAATTTATTGATTTTTGAGCAATTTACAGTAACAAACTGTTGGCAATAATCCTGGTAGATAGAGGTTAGTACCGATCTATTAGGGTAATGAAACATTGTTCCCAAAATCTGACTTAAGGTATTTTTATATGAAGACGAGTTAGTCACTTTGTGAAAGTCTGTAAAATATTGTAAATTCATTTCAATTTTTCAATAAAGACACGTCATTGTGGCATTATTGTGGATTAAAAAAAATATATATATATTAAAAAAATTTTTTATATATTATGTGACAACATGTTAATAAAAAATAAACAATAATCAGAATCCTAAAGAGAAGGAAAAAGAAGCTATTGAAGGTACTGGGAAATATGGCTTCTTATTAAGATTCTCAACAAATACTTTAAAAAATAAAAATAATACAGTATAAACTAAAACTAATAGCAATTAATCAATCCTACATCTCTGTCAAATTAATATACATTTCCTCAATATTAGATAATATTATTACCAATCTATTGAGAATAGACTCATTGGTGCTAACAAAAGAACATATGTTACACAATATACTATATTCTCACTCTCTAGGAAAAGGAACATGGTAAAAAAGAAGATTTGGAAGTATCTATGTTAAAAAAAATGTATATAATATGTTAACAAGCAAGTCAGTAATATAAGCATTAAACCCTGATCAAGTTGAAGTTACTATAATGGAAAGCATCCCAATGGAAGATAAAACAACTTCTACAGAACTTGAAAAGGCATATTTCCTTAAGGAAGTTATAATGGAGAATAGAGAAATAGTGAAACAAATAGAAACAAAAGTGTTAAAAAAATAGTACAGATAAGCTATATTATGGATAGCATGTCTTATAATACAAAAAATAGAGTTCAAGGGACAACTGCAAATCCATTCTTTATAAAACAATAGGGATTAATCAAGGTGGTAGTATTTCAAGCTATGTTGTCAAGAGAAGATATAGAAAAGAGAATTATATATCTTAAAGGAGTTCTAAAAATATCAAAGTGAAGAAATTCCTTCAAAATAAAATTCATCAATTTCAAATATTGGATTACATTTGGTTTTGATAAAGAAGAACATACAGCAAGATGTCTAGAGGCTGTTAACAAAAAAGAAGCTAAAAACTTTACACTCAAGAGAATGGACAAATATATGAGTACACAATCAGACTTCTAAAGATATGTTCAGAACAAAAAGTTTTTCAAGCAAGAAAATTTTCCATCAATCAAAAATAGATCAAAATATATATATTGATGAATACAAATCACAAGCTTGGCAAATATGTGATCAGATAAACAATGGAAGAATTTGAAAAGATTTTTAATATTCACAAATTTAGAATATTTTTCCATCAATAATGGTTTAGAGTTTACTTTTATGCTCACTGAAAATATATCAACTTGAACAAAGAATGAAGATCAAGATAAAATCTAATCAAGTACAGTCTATAATAATCCACAAAGAACAAGATAACCAAGAAATTACTCAGATTCTAAAAGAGATAAAGAGATACTCCTTAAGACTTTATGGAGTTGATGGATTATCTACAAAGTCTATAGAGAAAGCCTTAAACCACACGAAGGTTAAGGCCTTTTATATATCAAAAAACAAGATTAGTTTGGTATCAGAAAACTATACAATAATGTACTTTAAGAATAAAAAAGATTTAAGAGAGACACTCAAGCACCAAATAAAGATTGACAATCAAGAGTTAGGATAAAATGCAAAGAATTATTATTATCACAAGGTATCAATATATCTGATCAAATCAGATAATACACATATAATAATTAAAAAAGCAAGGAAGTAAGACTGTAAAAGTCGAGATAGAGCAAGTGAAGATAGAGAGTAATAAAGATATCATAATAACTAAAAAAGAAATTACACTGGTAG